CTGAAAGTTCAAATCTGGTCCCAAACGAGCAATCGAGACCAGAAATTTATGGTCGTCACTCGTCCTAGAAAGTGCCGTCACTACTGGTCAATAAGGACGACTTCAAAAAACTGGTCCCTGAATGGTTTTGAGACGGAAAAAACACTGTCTGTGAAATACATTTAGGGACTGCATATCTAGTCTCAAATAGACCATTGATATATTTGTATTCAGGTCGTTAAACCTCATTTGCGACTTTCTGTAGCCTAGTCCTAGTAACTCTTTAGAGACAAGTATGACCTGGTCCTAGAATAGCGTTAGAGACCATTAAAAATCTGCTCCTAGAATAGCTCTAGCGACTATAACAATCTGGTCCTAGAGTAGTTTTAGGGACGAACAACAACCTAGTCCTAAAATTGCTTTAAAGACGATCAACAATTTTGGTCCTAGATTGACCTTTAGAGACAGTCAATAATTATGGTCCCTAGCTAATCACCATTGATCCTACGACCATTGATTATCACAAGAATCTAAGAAATATCAAATTAATTACAACTTAAAATCTGGATGCAAAAGATGATATAGAAAGGGTTGCAGGGCGATAGAAATAAAAAGTGCAATTGATTACAATAAATTTGTGAGCATCACATGATGTAAGTTTCAATATTCTCTTAATCAACAAAAAAACTTAGATTACATCCAATGTTTTGCATAACATTCATAGCAAAAGTAAGAATGAGTTAGTCCATCTTCTAAGCTTGTATCTTCATTGAAGAATGAACAAAAGTTGGGCAAAAAACTTGAAGTTTAGTCTTTGTCATGTGATATCCAAAAACATCTACAAAAGCTGCAAAAAATAAGAAAGAAATCTATTAGAAAAACTTTCAGATACATAAATCAACAATCCAACATGTATTTTGGAGAACCACAGCTAAATAACGTTTTGTAAAAAATAGAAATAAATGGATAAGAAAGATAGCTTAAGAGACGAGTTGGATGAACAACTTGTCAGAAAAGTGTAAAACAGAGAAGCTGCTGGCAGCAATGTTATGTTGTTGCTGTGCAGGAAATTTTACGTTAAGTAGATATATACACCGGACACTTACCAATAAGTCTCTCCAGGAGCACGATAAATGTGAATTGCACGTTCAAGGGAGAGTTATCATAATGGAGAAACAAGATTTGAGGTAAACTAACTTAACGATTCAAAATTTCCCCTCCCCTCGAAAACTTCGAACAAGGAAGATCAAAGTAAATTCAAGGAAACTCAGAAAACCAGATACAATGAATTAACAGCTGCTAGAAGATCATACCATCAATACCCAATAATTTACAAATCTAACAAATACGGTATCTAACTAACAATGATACTTAAAAAGAAAGGTAATCGTATTTCTGGAAAGCAAAATGCAAAGTTACTACCAATCAACATTCAAAGAACTATACACACGGATACATACTGGAGGATCTCAACATTTTTTGGTTGTTACAGCAACATAGGATACATGCAAAGGCACTTGTATGAATCTAAATCACATTGAATGAAGAAAGAAAAATAAAAAAAAGTTGAGCACAACAACAGAAAAACTGGCAGCAGGGTTGCAACAGAAAAATTGGCAGCAAGGTTACGTCAGAAAAACTGGCAGAAAGGTTACGTTGCAACAATGTTACGTGGCAGCAATGTGACGTTGCAGTAGTGCAGAAAAAATAGGCAGAACATGATAAAATAGAGAAGTTGGCAGCAGTGCATAATTTTTTTTAAAAAGTTTTTGCCGTTATGCAGAAAATGAAAAACAGAGTCCATCAAAATTAAAGAAAGTTGAGTAGTGAAGATATTCAAAAACAAATCCCATCTCTACATTCACTAACTTTAAAGAAAGAAAAAAAGTCGGGTATATTGTTACTAACTTGGTCAGCTGAAAAGGCAATCGTCATTCAATTGAAACAGATGATGTTGTAGGTGCGATATGTGATTGTTGAGCAACAAAGAGTTCTTTCATTTTCATTAAGAATTTCACACGCCCATATTTCTCTTGCTTAAAAAGTTATATGGAAAACGTATGGACCTTATAGTTACAATACATCTGTTTGCGAGTCTAGCCTCCCCTACTTAACAGAAGCATTACAATTATGTAAGTATATCTTACTTTAAAAGTTACATGTAATAGGTCTAGTTCTTATTTCGCTCGCAAAATATAAATAGCGAAGACAGAAAATTAGTATATGTTGTTAGCGAAAGAATTAGACTTTTCAAATAAATTATGCAATCTATACAAAATATGAATCTTCAGGCACATACAACGGTTAACAAAATCGAGTCACTATTACAAACTCAACCCAATAATATTTCACTGATTGTACATAAGAAAACATATCAAATTAAGAAACTTTTAACCTATCTAATGTTACGAAACAGGAAGAACAAGAAGAAGAGTAACTTAAATAAAAAATTAAAACATCCATCAATATAGTTTATGGAATTCGAAACAATAGAAACTTGATTTGAAGAAGAAGCAAACTTGTATATGTTTCACCGAGCAGCTAAGCAACAACTATATGATGAACAAGACAGAGTTGCGATGGAAAGTACTTTGATGTTAAGATTGGGTCGAACGCTGTAGTTGAGAAGAAAAACGATCGATTTTTTATCAGAGATCGACTAGAGCTACATAATGTTGCAACCAGAAACCAAAGGGTTTTTTTTCTTTTTTACGGTTTGCCTAAATTTGGTTTTAGAAAAATAGGGTTTTTTCTTTTTGGCTAAAAAAAATATTGCCGCCTAAATTTTGGCTGGAAGAGGCGCGCTGCTATAAGTTTTTTAATTAGAATTTGGGACCAATTAATATGTTATTTAGGGACCGGATTAAGTATCTTCACAATAGAATATACAAATAAGGACCGGAATATAATCTCGTCCAAATACATATATCTTTAGAGACGGAAATAGTAGCTCATCCCTAAACGTTGGTCTTAAATAAGCGTTTTTCTTGTAGTGTCAGTCCAGTGTGGAGAGCTTGCAGTTCCGCCATTACAGGGCTATAGGCATAGATTGCATTACTAAAACCAATAATCCAATTACCGTACGAGTCTCTAATAAGACTACTAATTCCACCCATGTGTTTTGTTTGGACGAAAGTCCCATCCGTATTCAACTTGAATACATTAGGGGCAGGGGGAAACCAGCGAACTGGGATTTCCTTTTTGATGTCTGTTGATAATTAGGAATGGGTCATGAAAATGAACTCTTTAGCTCTCATGAGAGTGAGAGGAAGAGAGGTAGTAGGAGTGGACGAAGTGTTGGGACGAACAACCTATTGATTACGTTGCAATCAAATATGACATAGCGCAAAAGGGTTGAAGTCTTTCCATTGCATAGTTGTTGTGTCACGAAGGGGAACATCAAGGTCATTAATATTTTGCAACCAGTGAGTTGGAGTGTTGATAATATGATGCATATTCAACCCTATGTCTATCCAAAATTTCCTAAAAACAATCTAAGAGGATATGTTCAATAGTTTCTATATCACTATGGCATAGAGGGCAAGTGGGATCAGTGATCATCTCTATGTGATGGAGGTACGCATTAGTAGGAAGTCTGTTATAAGAGCAAATCTAGAGAAAGAATTTGATCTTGTTGAGCATGTTTAGTGACTAGATCCATTGGAAAGTATACTCTGGAGTATTCATAGAATCTAGTAGACTGCGAGCTGATTTAGTAGAGAACATGCCATTAGATTGAATGGACCAATAAGGGATCTCCCTAGTGTGATTTTTTAGCGTAACAAAATTGGCCTTATTAACAATGTCATTAGGAATGACTATAGAGAATTTTACCAGTTCCACTTGTCTCGCTCTCAAATATTGGACACCTTAAGAGTATACTCGTTGCATTGTAAGGGTCCATAAATAAGGTTACGTAGGGGAGGAGTATGGGGGATCCAACTATGGTTCCATAGGTCTAGGGTTTTGTCGGTGCCCGATGCCCAAGCTAACCCTTGCGCACACAGTTTCCCTCCTTTCAAAATATTCGTCATTTATTTACCATTTACTGAAAATTATACTTCCGTCCCATGTTATATGAGGTAGTTTGACTCGGGACGAAGTTTACGAAAGAAAGGAAGACTCTTAAAACTTGTGGTCCAAAATGAATGATAGAAATTTTTGTAACTATAAATAGTTTTATTAGGGGTAAAATAGACATTTTATAGTTAAATTGTTATTCCCTCTGTCCCACTTTATGTCACTTACTTTTGTTTTTAGTTAGTTACAAAAAGAATGATATATTTCTAAATTAAGTAGCTATTTAACTATAAAATGTCTATTTATCCTTAATGAAATGATTTACCGCCACACAAATTTCTATAATTTATTTTGGACCACAAGTTTTAAAAGACTTCCTTTTTTTCTTAAACTCCGTGCCGAGTCAAACTATCTCATATAAAATGGGACGGAGAGAGTACTTAATATAGAAATATGTCATTCGTTTAAGGACTGACTAAAAAGGAAAGTAAGTCCATAAATTGGAACATGGGAAATAAGAATTATAAATATTTCAATAACCCACTTTCTAATGTATCCATTTGTCTTTCGACTTTGTCCTATGAGGAAGCTCATGAGTTATGTCCAACTCTTATTTGAAGCCGTTAGATGGTAAGCTTTAAAATCAACGGTTGACATTGTGTCAAGCAATCCAAAGGTATACTATATATGTTTGTGTAGCGAGCAATTGGTAGTCATCTTTTCTAAACAAAGAGAAGAAGTGTTTGAGTTGTGGTTTAAGTACGTTTTGCTCTTGATTGTTTCCCATGGAAGGTGGAGATAGAGAGGGAATTCCTTATCATCAACCATATCATGATTTACGAAATAACTTTTCTTTTTATCAACAATTTCCTCCATTGTTATGGAGTCATCAAACCCAACAAAGTGTTGCAAACAATAATGAAAGCATTTTTACTCAACATGGTGGTTACTATGATGGTACAAGTGGATATAATAGTAATGTTTTTACGGAGCAAAGATTAATGGATAACATAGTGTTTAATGAAGAAAATGCTGTTCACTGGAATAACAAAGAGCAAGAGATGGTGATATCATCTGCGAAGGAGATGGGAAAAAATGCAAAAGAAAGGACTTGTTCTACTACTATGTTAGTCAAGGGTCAGTGGACCGAAGAGGAAGACAGGTGATGATGATATAATTAAAGTTTTTGCATCTTGATTGTGAATTGTGATGTCATTTTCAAAATAGATTTTTATTTATTATTAATCTAAGCCAGAAACTCAACTTTATTTCTTGGATTATATATGAAGGAATTTGATGAAGTTGGTGAAGCAGTTTGGATTGAAGAGATGGGCTCAGATAGCTGAGAATATGGTCGGTAGAGCAGGAAAACAGTGTCGTGAGAGATGGCATAACCATTTGCGACCAGATATCAAGGTTTTTTTTAATTTTTTCTTCACTCTCTTCTAATTCATATTTTGTTTTTTTTAATTTAATTTAAAAATATAACTTCAAAGGACATCTCTTTTTAAAATCACTAAGATTTACTCCATCTATAATTCTTTGACTAGTCAAGGATTTAGATGTTTTCCCAATATGTTTGATTTATTTATTTTACATTTCTAAAGAAAAACTTCATTTTAATTTAATTATTTCCAAATCATTGACTAATATTTAATGGCACGTTTTTTCTGTTCAAGAAAGTATCTAGGTATTGTATTAACGCTAACATGTAAATTTTGCACTTTGCAATTTCATGTGATTATACAAATTTTGTTATATATAAAAATTATTTTCTAGAATTTTTATATTGTGATTGTTTCAGAAAGAGACGTGGAGTGAAGAAGAAGAAGTGATGTTAGTGGAAGCGCATAAGCAAATTGGAAATAAATGGGCAGAAATTGGTAAAAGAATTCCGGGAAGGACGGAGAATGCAATTAAGAATCATTGGAATGCAAGTAAAAGAAGGCAAAATTCGAGGAGGAATAAGTTGAAAAAAGAGGAATCAAAATATAGGTCGAATGTTCTTCAAGATTATATTAGAAGCAAGTACTTCAGTGATGATATCAACACCATGACCATGAGTACTACTACTCCAAATGATAATAACATGAAAAATGCGTATCCCTATTCTGATGATGACGACTCTTCATCTTTGCTCACTAATCAAACATATGATGAAGAAATGAACTTCATGCAAAAATTGTTTGGAAATAATTCATTGGATGGTAAAGTGACTGATGAGGCAAATATGACTGCTGAACATCAACCTTATCTTTAGGAATATCATTCGATTAATCAAGCTTCATCTTCATCTTCATCAACAAGAAACAAAGACATTGAGTTAATGGAAATGGTTTCATCTTCTATCTACCCTCAACACACCTCCACCAACACATATTCTTTTAATTAGTGTTTCAATATTGAGTGTCATGATATAACCAACCAGTTGTTAGTTTTCTGTTTTTTAGTTTATGCTAGCTTGCCTTTATTCTTTAATGATGGCTCTTTTCATTTCTCTTGTTTCTATCTATATTCTTTCAGTCTATAGACTATATAGTTGCTTCCTTTTTTAGTCAGATTATGTTGTCATGTTGTTGAATGAAATTAATATTTAAAGAACAACCCATCTGGTTTGTCTATTTATCCTTATATTATGTTATATATGTTATTTTTTAAATACATACCGCCCCAATGTATTATGACTTATAATGACGCTTCGCTAACTAATGTTTATGCATTCATTTTAATTCATCATAGTCGGTGCATCATATCACTTCCTAGTTTGGACTTGCGATCCTAATTTAGAGGCACACCAAGATTCAATTGATTAAAGGAAGCAAATGATTTTTCCATGACAAAGTCAATCCGTTAACTTAAAAACGGTACTACTAACAATGTAAGGCATTCCAAGTTAATTATTTTTTGATCATTACTCATTTTTCAGGTCATTCAATCTAGCAAAATACATTTGGTCGTTAACAAGATTTGTAATTTCAACTACTATCACACTGCCACTAGCTTGTTTGGTATTTTATTTCAATAGTTTAATTATTATATAGCTAAATATGTTGTCATAACAATATATACACGTTTATTTATTTCAAATTCTAAAATTTCCTTGGACACAAAGAAGATATTTGAGAGGGAGAATAGCAACATCACAAAGAATTAAAACGTGGCTCTATTAGTTTCTTATATCTTTTTCCTCTATTGCTTAATTGTTCTTTTTAACTTGGGTGAAAAAAAATTAATACTGTCACGAGAAAAAAATAAGATATTCTGTAAAATATCTTTTAACACAATGAGGTTTATTTGATAATTTTAGGTAATTATTACTTTTTTTTTTCCATTTGATGTAGTTTCCGTGTTTACTAAAAATAATACTCTAAAATAATCATTAGCAAATTAAGATATAATTAATTATTGATTTTCACCTTGAAATTCACTCAACAAATGTAGTATAATAATTTATTGAGATTAAGGAATTCATTAAGAATAAACTAGTCAAAATTGTTTTTTTAGTTAATAATTTTATGAGGCATGTAAAATTAAAATATAAAAAATAAAATGTACAACAATAATTCAATTTTATTTTAGACTTGCACTCATATAAATTTAATCCTAAAATGTTATAATATTTAGAAAAAATGGTCAATTATCCAAAATACATATCGCGAAAAGAGAATCAGGAAAACACAATAAAATGAACTGAATTATTTGAAATTTTTAAAAAAATTAACTGTTGTGTGTATTTATAGTTATCACACGATTTTTAATAGTTTGAAGGCAAGGGAAACGAATGAAAGATTAAGGAAATATCTAGAATAATTTCACTTGGTCAAAACCTTATTTGTGTATTTGAAGTGTGAACAAGTCTTAGTTTGTTCTTGATCAGTCAAGTGTGGATCAACATGATTTTAGGCTTCATTTTTGTTTTATCCACATGTTGAGATTAGCTTTTTGTGTAATTTCCTTCATAAAATTCCTCAACAGGTTATTGTTTTTACCTGAACTTTAACTCACAAGTTCACTTGATGAACGTTTTCTAAGTGAAAAAAATGTGCAATAGCTAACGAGGAAAAAGCTCCAAACGGCTAACATTCCATAGATTGAGCAAGTATGTTTGGTGTAGAGAATTTAGCAAGATGAAATTTTTTTTCTCTTCCATTGTCTTTTTCTTAAAGATCCAAAAAGACCCTTATTCTATTTGGTGTTTCTCCCAGAATTTGCGTACATGATATCAAATAACACTTTGCTTCTCAATAAAATTAGTCTGGATCAAAAATTACTTTTTTTTTCAAGGAAATCAACAAAAATGGGTTGTCACAATACACTTATTGTTGCATGATATTTTACTACAAAAAAATGGATGTTTGATCTGTGGGCCACACAATTTATTTTAAAAAAAATAATGTGTCATGTTCTTTTTCACTACTTGAAGGGTTATTGTTTTACGATTCATGAATTATTTTTATTTTATATATTTTCTTTAGAAAAATTATGAATCATGAACTTTTTCACAACTTATTGTTAATTATTTTTTATGTTTTCATATCATATTTAGGTCCATGACTTTACCTTAAAATTTGTATTGCCCTAATTAGTGATTTAATATAACTATATAAATATACACTAAAAGACTTATTACGAAGCAACCTACTACCCTAATTTTCTTTTCCATTAAAAATAAATATGATGACCATGTATCCAACAATCAACCTATTTTGCGGTGGTGAAGTTGTGTGTGAAAAAGGTTTTGTGAGATAGAACAACCCTTGTGATACAAAGGTTCTCAAAATATGATCATATGTAATGCATGTTTAGAAGTATAATGATCGATCGTGAGTGATCGCGAACTATGTTACTCTACCATATTTGTTTTAATTTTATTTTATAGTAGAGATAGTCACACGCTATTGACAATAACTAGGTGATATACAATGTCATTTATGAACAATTGGTTTTCAATTTACGATGTGACTTAAATTTACAAAGATAATTCTTTTATGTTATTTTTTAAGTCCTCAGTTCTTAAGCAATCACATAAACATAATGACGTTTGAAATTTGTTCAAGCCAATAGGGATGTTGTGTTCAATGACTAGTGCGGAGTTTCAAGATGATTTTCAAGTGTTGGCTCAAGACAGGACGACTCAAGACAATAGGGAGGTTATGTTCCCCGTGAACACAAATGTGGGTGTTGATGAGGAAGACCCTAAACAATTCATTGATGAGGTATACAAGGTGTTGATGATCATGGGAGTGACACCGGTTGAAACGACAGAGATGGCCTCTTATCAACTTAAGGGTGTTGCTCAAGTTTAGTTCAACCAATGGAAGGACGAGAGGGTGTTTTATGCGGGTCCTCTCGATTGGGAAAAGTTTAAGGTTACTTTCCTTGATAGGTTATTTTCCCTTGAGATGAAAGAGGCAAAGGTACTTGAATTCATTACACTTCGTCAAGGGAATATGAGTGTGAAGGTGAATTCCTTGAAGTTCAGACAACTATCTAGGTATGCTCCAACTATGGTTGCCGATTCTAGGGTAAAGATGAGCAAGTTTATTTTGGGTGTGTCCGAAATGGTAATTAAGGAATGTTGTACCACCATGATCATCAATGAAATGGTTATCACTCGTCTAATGGTGCATTCTCAACAAATTGAAGAGGAAAAGCCTAAGGAAAGGTCTAGGGAGGCAAAGAGAGCAAAGACCGGTGATGGTGACTTCTAACATTTAAGGTTCGATGGACATGGTCGTTAATCTAAAAATGATAAGGGAATGGATGGTAGGCAAGCTCCACATAATGATTCAGGTTCAAGTGCTCCAAATCAAAACCGGTTCTATGCATTTCAAACTCATCATGAGCAAGAGGGTTCACCCGATGTTGTTTCTAGTATGTTGAAATTCTTCCATCTTGAGGTTTATTCTTTGCTTGATCCTGGTGCTACCTTTTATTTTGTGAAGCCATATGTGGCTATGAGGTTTATTGTTCTTCCGGATGTCTTGTTAGACTATTTTTATGTCTACTCCTATGGGTGAAATCTATTATGGCTAAGAGAATCTGTAGAAATTGTCTCTTCTCCTTATCCCTTAGAGTCACTCATATTGACGTAATAGAGCTTGATATATTGGATTTCGATGTTATTCTTGGTATAGATTGGCTCCATTCATGTTATGCTTCTATTGATTGTAGAACTCGAGTGGTCAAGTTTCAATTTCCTAATGAGCCCGTCCTAATGTGGAAAAGGGGAAATTATATGCCTAAGTGTCAATTTGTTCTTGTCTTAAATATAGAAATATGATTACAAAGGGTTGCCTATACCATCTTCTTCGGGTTAGGGATACGGATTCTGGAAGCCCTACTCTTGTGTCGGTCCCGGTTGGCACAAATTCTCTTAGCCTATTAAAATTTTTGGTGAGTCCTCATTGTTCGGGGTCATTGCCACATTTATGCTTTTGATGTCATTCATACTTTACTTTTATTTTCAGATTGTTCGTGAGCTAGGGCTATGTAGTATAGGTTTATGTTAGACATAGTATGTTCCACATTTATGGTGTATGTACTGGGATTTTTGTATCATATTGAGGTGAGAATTTGACACTTATATTCCACTATCATGATTCATTCATTTTTATTGATGTAGTTCTCTTAGAGTCTTTCATGGTTATATTCACCAAGTCAAATTTAGGAGGTAGTCTTTGGTCATGACAAACTTTGTATCAGCGGTTGGTTCAGGTGTCTTAGAGTGTTTGACACTCGTTTTTAGTAGTCTAGTTCATGAGTATGAATAGTGTCACATTTATGAATAGGAGGTTATAAGATATTTAAGAAACTTCACTTCTTTAATTACTCTTAAGTTGTGTGATTGACCGGAACTCTATAAGGTTTCCTTCTAACTCATGTTCTATGAATTTCAAAATGATTTCTCCAAGAAGTCCTCAACATAGAAGGAATTTTAATGTGGAATCCGAAGTTCCTACAGATTCGACCGATCCTTTGTTGAGCAAGTCTCACATGCTGCTGAATTTTGCGCTGCTTTCCGAATATTGGCCCACAATAACCCAAATCGAATCATGTTGTCACCGGGTATGGGTTTAACCCACAATAAAGTCCATATTAACATCTTCCCACTTCCAAGTAGTAATACTAATATCTTGAGATAAACCTCCCGACTTTTGATGCTTAACTTTCACTCGTTGAAAATTACAACACTTAGCCACAAATTTCATAGTATCCTCCTTCTTTCCATTCCACCAATTGACCTCCTACAAGTCACGA